CCCCCAAAACCCCAAAACCCCAAAACCCCAATCTCTAAAATAATAGTTGAAAATGGAAACAAGAATTTATCTTCTGGTTCTGCTCATTGCTCTTATTGCACAAGTATACTGTCAAGACACGGCAGGTCCAAGGTCAACCTTTGGTGGTAGAACAGTCTTTGGTAAATACTAAATTGGCTTATTCATATAGCTAACAAGGAGAAGGAAATTTATCACTCTCAAATTTGGAATAACCCAAAGCCTAAAAATGCCCAACAAAAAGTGCAAGATGCACTCAAAAATCAAGAAAACTCAAATTTGAGGAAGATTCAGACTGAACAATATATGAAGGAATTTGAGAAAGCAGAGGACTACCTTTCACCTCCAAAGTCTCACCTTGAATCACCTCATGAAGATTGATATACCCTAAGTTATCCTGAGGATGAAACAGCCAAAGATTTAGAATACGCCTTGCTCAATGATGCTGAATCATTAATAGTCACAGTGTGGTTTTACAACTTTCAAAATCAATGGGGACAGAACTTGTACAATCAAGATGTTAGAGGAACACTCTGGAAACTGATTTGCAAATATCACTCGTTTGTGACTTACACTGAGGCAGATCTATCTAATTACAACAGTCAAGGATCAGATTATAAGGCCTTGGCAGAGAATTTAGGAATAGATTTACGAAATATATTCGATGGGCCTTCAGTCACTATCTTACATAACAAGTTTGGGGACGCACTACGATCAGAAAAAGGCCCTAGAGACCTAATAGTCAAAGTTGACGATTACCTCAGCCATAAAGAAGCTGAACTCTACAATACAGAACCTAAAAATTATGACATCATTAGAGAGATTTTAGCACCTAATAAATATGACGATTACATGCCTTCTGATCATGTGGAGAAGAACCCTTCTCTGTATCAGGACAAGAATAAAATGTATGCTGCTCCTCTCAGACAAAGTTTGCACATCTCTCCCAAGCCTCAGTACGAGCTCCCACTGCCAGTTTAAATTTGATTACTTGGAAATTCAAATTTATTCAAAAATGATTTTAGACAAAGGGGTTTTGGGGTTTTGGGGTTTTGGGGTTTTGGGG